GTTAACCGACAGGGTTTAAAAGGAAGCTGAGAAGAACGCATGACGGCTTGTTTTCTTTCTGTCGCTCTGTTTTTTCTTTCTGCCATGGTGGCGTGTTTTGAGATTACCAAGAGTAATGTGTTCTGCCTATGACGCCGTGTTTTGAGGTTACCAAGAGTAATTCGGACAGGTAATATGTCACGTGACGTACACAAAGCAGCACCTAGTAAATCTCTCGGTCTGTATATTTTGTTTATCATTCTTTGTGTCCACCACAAATATTATTATTATTATTATTATTCATCTTTTTGCTTTAATATTTCACTTATGTACAAGAAATTTTACTTTATTTTCACAGTACCTCGTTACGTGTTGTCTCTTGCCATCTTAATCACACCACCACTTCAATGTTGCCCCTTTATTGACTAAGGGTGCGGAACAGAGTATTTTGAAAAAAAAAAAAAAAAAAAAATCAGGGGGAGAAATAGAGCTGGACACCATAAAGAAAAAAATTGCACAAGAGATAGAGTTGCTTCAAAAGATACTTCAGAGTAAGTGCAAATACACTATTTCAGAGTACTAATGCTGACCTTGCATAATATCTCTTATTGCAGGCAAAAGATGACTGGATAACTGGCTTTTCTTTACAAAGAACAATTGAAATAAAACTCAAGGAACTAAGCAAATTTGTCTTGTCTTTTATTAAACATTTAATGAAACAGGTTTTTTTGGTTCGTTATTTTTTATGATGGTGCAATGTTGTGTAATATGGCCCATGCAATGTCACAGGCCCTGTCAGGTGCAACCCTCAGACTTTTCAGACACTTTAGTTGGCTAAAGTTCACTTCACTGTGTGCCCTTGTCCTGGCTAGAGTGGCATTGTAACTGGTCTGGGGTTTGGGTCAGGGAATGGGGTCATAAAACACCTGTCTCCAAGCAGGATCCTGTTGTAATCACCTGTATAATTGAAAAAATCAGTTCTGTTAGGATAAGCGTAAGGGTATGTATGTAATACAGTGAGCTTGATATTTATATTTTTCCTTACCACGTTCAAATAATGTGCATAAACGTCTGAAAATTCTTGAGTCATGCACAGATCCTGGCCATATTTGTGATATGGAACATAGTCACACACCATCTAAGAGATTTTAGTCTGTCAACTGCCTTTTTAAAATGTGATATAATATTACTAATCTGGATAAGAATCGCAATAGTAACTTGCCTGCACTGTTATTAAAGCCCGACTCCGACGAGTCTAACATTTATGTGTTTCCAACAAATTAATGATGTAAACGACATCTTCACGAGTCATGAGAAAAATTATATCTCTCAAAAAGTACACTATCGCGCTGCGCTAAAGGACTTTCCGTATCAGCTCCGCTTATGAAGCCCCGATCTAATCCTGTTAACATGAAATAAGCCTGCTCGCGAGCAGGTTCAAGCTTGCGCACCTGTTGCTATGACAGCAAGTCCAGGATGAGCGTCGAAGAACCAAACAATCCAAGATCATGCCAAATCGCCAACAATCAAATCCAGCTAAGTGAGTTAGCGACGTACGAAGAACGGGCCCCAGGTCTCAGGAAAGAGCTAAGGAGACTCTCTAACAAAAAGCACAAAGTTTCATCCAGCCAGACATTACGGCTTTCTTATTCAGAATGTCTGCAAAATTACAAATAATTTTGTGGAACAAAAGAGAAAAATATTTTAAAGCTAAAATTGATGAAATTGATGATTTGGTAGATCAGAGTAAAATACAGAAAACATTAGAAGACTTGGAGAAAACAATTAAAAATTATCAAAATCCATTAGATAAATCTATAACAATATCTGAAATATTAGAACATATTAAAAAATTTAAATTAAAGAAAGCATGTGGACAAGATCACATTAGTAACGAAATGCTTAAACTCAGCAGTCCCAGCATAATTAAAACTCTAGACAAATTATTTAATCTGGTGTTGTGGTCCGGAAGGTTCCCTGAGATCTGGTCTGAAGGACTCATCAGCCCCATATTTAAGAAAGGTGATCGATTCGACCCCAATAATTATCGCGGCATAAGTGTGGGCAGTGCTTTAGGAAAACTGTTCTGCAGTATCTTAAACAGACGCATTGTCTCACACATCTCATCACACAACATTTTAAATAAAGCACAGATTGGCTTTTTACCAAAACACCGCACATCCGACCACATCTATTCCCTCCACACTCTCATCAACGAAAACATCAAGGGCAAACAAAGGAAAATATTTGCATGTTTTGTAGACTTTAAAAAAGCATTCGACTCAATTTGGCACGATGGTCTACAGTACAAAATCCTACAAATTGGCATCGGCGGAAAACATTTGATATTATAAAATCTCTGTACAGCAACAGCAAAAGTGCGGTGAAAATCAGGAACCACAGAACCGCGTTCTTCCAGCAGGGTCGTGGAGTGAGGCAGGGCTGCAGTCTGAGCACTTCAACATCTACATCAATGATCTGACATCAGCGCTGGAGAGCTCTACTGTCCCCGGCCTCACTCTACACCACACACAGGCCAGGGGTCAGGGGTCAGGGGTCTGCTGTACGCGGATGATCTGGTCCTGCTGTCCCGCACACCTGAGGGCCTTCAGCAGAGCCTGTCCCTGCTGGAACAATACTGTCACGACTGGGCCCTGACAGTCAATCTGGACAAAACCAGAGTCATGGTGTTCCAGAAGAAGGCCAGATCTCAGGAACACAAACACCAGTTCCTGTATAAAGAGCAGGTCCTGCAGCACAGCACTAGCTATAGCTATCTGTGTGTGTGTGTGTGTAAGAGCACGAGCTATAGCTATCTGGGCATCGACATCAGTGCTTCGGGACGCTTCGGTCCCGAAGATTGTGTGTCTTACCCCTGGACGGTTTAGGCACAGAGAGCTGTCCTGCTTCTGCAGCCGAGGGAAGGGTAACTACTGTGACTGCTTCAGTCCCAATGAAGTGGACATGAATTGCATATATGTGTGTGAATTACCCACCAATGCTCTAGCAACAACACCACATCTTACTATGACACCAGATATAGTTGGAAGGTTTGGGATTGTTAAATATGATGCCCAGCCATTTGTAGGCCAAGTCCTGAATCTGGTGGGTGATGATGAACTTGAAGTGAGCTGCATGCGTCAGACATTAGGCAGAAACGCCTTTGTGTGGCCAACCACCCCGGATATAATATTTTATTACATATCTGACATGCAAGCCATCCTATCGGAGCCTGAGCCATTAACAAACCGTTCGTCACAACTATGCATCCCAGACTGGAGAAATTCCAAAACATGTGGTAGTCACATAGCCACACTCATTGTGGGTGTCACAGAACAAAAATGTATGAAGTTCATATGGAAATGTTCAAAAGTTCCAATCTTCTACACTTCCAATCTACACTTCATTAACCCTCTGGGGTCGGCAATCACTCCGGCGTGATCTGCTCGCTTTTTTTCTTATCAGTGCAAAACAGACTCAAAATACTGATGATTTTGATCTTACATATAAGTGTTACACATCATTCAAAACTGTTAAATGTCTTCTTTTATTTGTGTACACTCATAATAAAAACAAAATGTTGTGTTTTTCGTAAAATTAAGAAAATAAACATGATGCATGTTCTGCGGTCTCTCTAAATGTGAAGTTCATTCTGAAATGCAACAGAAAATGACCTATAACTCAGCGAATGTTTGTCACACAGACTTGAAACTTATGTCTTTACAACGCCTGGGGTCTCTATTTTTTAATGATGTAAATTATATCAAAAACAAATATACTCTGTTTAAGTAATCCGTATGAAAGCAACGACATTTACAGTTTCTCAAACGCTTCCTAATTAACTCTGTGACCACACCCACGCGTGGTCGAGCGATTCACATGCAAATGATCCATGTGGAGGAACACGAAACTGTTAACACCCTCTTCACCTCAAAACAAAGAATAAGAGACTTCAGTAACTTTTCATCGAGTTTGGAAGACTGTGTTTGTGCTGTGCTGTTTACCTTGGATTACCTAGAAGAACGCGATTTAAAGATGAGAAAGATTTTTAAGGTAAGACATTCACTCATAATAGTAAGCATGTTATTGTTATATAAACTTTGTAGCAACTAGTCAAACTGGTGCCATATTAAAATGTACGTTATAAAATGAGATCGCCACTGTCGTTTTGTATCGTATCGTAAAATTTTTGTATCGTATCGCCGTTTCATCCAGAGGGATCCGGCGTTTTGGGAGACTGAAGCCGCTATTTTTTTAAACCGGGTCCTAGATAAATCTGAAAACGACACCCTTGCGTTTCGTGTGTACAGCCAATCCGGATATTTTATGAAACGATGATGTCATCACCCCAGGTGTCGACCCTAGCAAGTTTTATGGTTTTTATGCTAACTAATCGAATATTCGAAAATCGTGACTCGTTCCTATTTTGTACCAGGCCATTTATGGTCGTTCATATTGTTCAATAAAGTTCTTGGTAAAAAAAAAGAAAAAGAAAAGAAGAATCTACTGAGTCTAATATGATTGTATACAGCGCGCAAGGTTTATGTGCATGCTCCAAGTCTTCTTCTCCGTTTTTAGTGTATCTCTGTGGCAGAATTAGTGCGACATACTGGTCTGGCATGTATACTACATCGTTTTGAGTCGGTTTCAGTGGTTTCGTGTGTACGCAGATATTTCTTGAGACAACGTCGTGTTTAAGGAATTTTTTTTTATTAGGGTTGGAACTAAACTCTGCTGGAGAGTGGCCCTCCAGGACCAACGTTCCCCACCCCTGGTCTAAATTAAAGGCTGTCTACCTAAACTGCTTAATATTTGAAACTATAGCAAAGAAGATGGTCAGGTGTGGCCACTGGAGTAAAAAATGCACAAAAATAAAAAGCCTCAAAGGAAAGAATAATAAAGAGGCGAAGGATATAAATAAAAAGTAATAATACAAATAAAAGAAGTTTTCATGAAGGCGGACAATCAGATGAAACCCACATTCAGCTGCAGAGTTAAAGTAGCCTTTATTTTAAACAGATTCACACTTTCTATTGCCATACTCTTTAACAAAAAACACAAACAGGGTCTCACATTAACATTGCTTTTCATATGTATGTGCAAGTGTGATGTTTTTATTAGACTGATCACAACTGAATTGTTTTTCTGCAGAGTGAATGCGCAGATGATTGTTGAAATTGCTAATTTTTCCAAACCTAGTCACACTGAGGAAGACGGCAATTTCTTTTCAGAATGAGTTTGCAAATGCCGTTTCAGGTCTGTGTGATATGTGAAACTTTTCTCACACTGAAGACACTTGTAAGGCTTCTCTCCAGTGTGAACTCTCATGTGAATCTTAAGATTTCCTTTCGTTGTGCAGCTCTTCCCACACTGAGGGCAGGTGAAAGGCTTCTCTCCAGTGTGAATTCTCATGTGATTCTCAAGGTGTGCTCTGTGTTCGAAACTCTTTCCACAGTGATGACATATTTGATGCTTCTCTCTATTGTAAATTATCATGTGATTCTCGAGGGTTTTTCTGTGTTTGAAACTCTTTCCACAGTGATGACACATGTAATGCTTCTCTGCAATGTGAATTTTTGCATGATCATTAAGATGATTCCTGTCTGTGAAACTCCTTTCACACTGATGACATACAAAACAGTTCTCTCCTGAATGAATCATCATGTGATGATTAAGGCTTTCTTTATATCTGAAACTCTTTCCACACTGCTCACAAACAAACGGCTTCTCTCCAGTGTGAATTCTCATGTGAGTCTTAAGAGTTCCTTTTACTGTGAAACACTTCCCACACAGTTTGCAAGTGAAAGGCTTTTCTCCGGTGTGAGTTCTCATGTGGACAATAAGGGTTTTCTTCTGTGTAAATCTCTTTCCACACTGAGGGCATTTGAACTGTTTCTCTCCAGTGTGGATTTCCAAATGGACTTTAAGGCTTTCTTTTAGACTGAAACTCTTTCCAAACTTTTGGCAGGTCAAAGGGCTCTCTCCAGTGTGAACTCTCATCTGGAGGTTTCTAGTTTCTGTTTTATGTGTCAGTGAGTACGTAAAAGATTTCTCTTCAGTCATGAAATCATGGCATTTCTCATACTGATCTTTCTTTCTTATACTGTTTGCATTCAGTTCTTGACTCTCCTCTTTTAGCACCATCAGATCTAGGGTGAAAAGAAACAAAAACAAGTTAACACCAGTTTAATGGCACAAAGACATGAAAACTTTTAGACATGTAAAACAATAAATGCTGAATCCTAAACCCACTAAACAACGGGAAAAGGTGTTACCCTGTATTCTCAGAACCTCTTGTCAATATTGTTAATTCTTTTCTTTCTTTAGGACACGTCCCAAATACTGTGCTCAGTTTCTCCCTCCCATTTTTCCTGTTGTCAGCCTCTCTTCCTTCACCCACACAATTCTCATCTCTGGATGTGAATACCACAACAGACACTTTATGTTCCACTTTAACTTCTTGTCTAGACAACATCTGTCCACTCTCTTCCAGGACAGTGCGTGCTACTCCCTCTTTCCCCTGGATATCTGATGTTCTGCGTGAACACCGGACCAAACTCGGGGCAGCAGAGCGAAAATAGCGCTAACCAAAAGACCCATCTAACCTGAGTATGTATCAGTCTCTGCTCCCATCCTTTACTGTTGAAGTCTCCATGCTGCAAAATCTTCATATTTCCAAAACAAGATCAACAGCAGTTTACATGTGTGTTTGAACATTAAAGTAAACTAGTGTGATCAACAGTGCACATTTTCATATTTTATTTAATATTTCTAAAATTATTCATAAATAATGAATTTATTTTTTTGAATTAATTTTTTCTTTTTTTACTCAAAAATTAGATGCCTACTCTCAGATAAATGAGGCCTATGATTAATCAGATGCAAATAGAAATATAAAACCAGTCCTGATTGAAAGAGAACAAGTTGACAAAAAGATTGAATCCAATTTTGGGTGATAATATAGCATAACAAGTCATTTATAAGCTATTTTTTGTAGGCTGGTCATTTTTGACTGGGAACACCACAAGTGTGACTATGTGCCGTGTTTTACAAAATAAAAGCATTTCAATACAAACACCCTGATTAAACATTAAAGCACACTAGTGTGATGGACAGAGCAATTGTTCTTCATATTTTATGTAATATTGTGAAAATTATTCATAAATAATGCTTTTTTTTCTCACTCAAAAAATTAGATGCCTACTCTCAGATAAATGAGGCCTACAATTAATCAGATGCAAATAGAAATATAAAACTAGTTCTAAATGAAAGAAAACAAGTTGACAAAAAGATTGAATCCGGGAATTTTTGACCAGGAACACCACAAGTGTAACAAGGTGACAAACCCCCCCTTAAAAAATTACAAAAATTGTCAAAAAACATTTGAGAACTAGTTATACCCTTTGTGAACAAAGTCACTAAGTTTCAGTCCAATGCAATAACATTAACTAGTATTTTCGGGAAAAAGAAAATCTTCTCCGGGTCAAAATGACCCGAACACAACATGAGGGTTAATTGATGCTATGCGACTAAAATGTGATTTTTTTTGCGATCAGTCATTCCAAAAATCTGGCAACTGATGTTGGTAGGTTTATATGGTTTATATATATATCCCAGCCACCGCATTAGTCATTATTTTTAATTGAAGGAGACGTAGGCGTGTTATCCGAGCATTAATGGTAAGGAAAGCCCCTTATAATTGTGAGCGGCACATATGTGACCCTGGACCACAAAACCAGTCATAAGTCGCACGGGTATATTTTTAGCAATAGCCAATAACCATTTTTCTTTTATGCCAAAATCATTAGTATATTCAGTAAAGATCATGTTCCATGAAGATATTTTGTAAATTTCCTACCGTAAGTATATATAAAAAATATTTTTGTGAGTGGATGCAGCAAAATCGCGCAAAAAAAAAGTCCGAAAACACGCCTACAAACTTTGCTCGCTGCTGCCTGCTCTTTGGGAATTACCCACTCAAGTTTGGTATCTTAGATTGTCAAGCTTAGATTTCCCGCTTTCGGGTTCATAACTCTCCACAACGTCATTAGAGCAGTAAGCCAATAGAGAGCGTTTAAAAAAAACCTTCTCGTGTAAAAAAAAAAAAACTGTTTTCTTCTTAGCAATGGCCTGCTACAGCGCCTCTCATTGGCTGGTGACTTCTTCGTGTGCACAGTGTACACAATCCGCAATGGTTATGGTGCAAGCCATGGATTCTGAGATAGCGCGTTTGCTCAATTTAAACTTTAATGACAGCAATAATTTAACGAAAATAGTAAATTATTTTTTCGCAAATGATTGGGAAGATGATACAGAATGTCCAGAGACCGGCTTGGCTAAGGAGGATGCCCTAGACCAGGGGTAGGCAAGTTCGGTCTAGAGAGCCGCTGTCCTGCAGAGTTTGGCTCCAACACTGAAAAAAAACTCTCCTGCCTATAGCCTTAGTAATCCTGAAGACATTGATTAGCTTGTTCAGGTGTGTTTGATTAGGGTTGGAACTAAATTCTGCAGGACAGCGGCTCTCTAGGACCGAACTTGCCTACCCCTGCCCTAGACGATATAAAATGTATATATTTATTTATGTTTCTCCTAGTGAAATGTGATGCGATCTGGGAAAACCCACCACATGGTGAAATTTGACATAGCCTATTACAGGTTTTGATAATCTGTTTTCCAAATCTGTTTATATTTCTTTCATTGATTAAAATGACGATTTGTTTATCTCCGTGCGTGTTCTTAAAGCTTAAGACAGTCTTTTCAGCTTGCCACTATAAATCGCAATTTTTCTGCACTAAACTTGTAAATTTCCCCAAGATATATTCAGAGAGGATAGACAAGATTTTATAGAATAATAATTTAATGAAAACCCACAATTTTGACCAAAAAACTGACATTCTATCTATTTTTAGACCTTACTGAAAACGTACCAGTGCGACATCCGACGGGTTTTCCCAGATCGCATCACAAATATTTTAATGAAATTTTGTGTGTATAAAGGTTTAGTTGTGGTAAATCAATGGTGTAAATTTCATTTATTTCCCTTTATTAGTAATATGCGTAGCTAAGGACTTCATTTGGACAACTTTAAAGGCGATTTTCTCAATATTTAGATTTTTTGCCCCATCAGATTCCAGATTTTCAAAAGGTTGTATATCGGGCCTCGGCCAAATATTGTCCTATCCTAACAAACCATACATCAATGGAAAGCGTATTTATTCAGTGTTCAGGTGCTGTATAAATATCAATTTAAAGAAAATGACCCATAAGACTGGTTTTGTGGTCCAGGGTCACATATGAGGTGTTTCTAACTCCTATCTGCTTCAAGCTCTTGAATGTGGCATTTCTTTGAGGTTTAAAATTCAGTATTCCTGCAATTCCTTTGCCTTTTATGAATTTAATAAAGAACTCCGTCTTCTGCCCAAAACATACCGCACCATCTACGTCAGCTGACCTGTAAATGCGCAAAAACTGTTTCCATTGCAGTTTTGCGAAATATTCCTTTTTCGAATTGCCTGAAAAACCACCTCATGCGTAAAAACTTTTATGCGATAAATGGGAGTTTTTGTGAAATTTACGTGTTTCCATTGGGCGTATTTTCAATTTGCGCAATTTAGGGGTGGGCGGTATGACCAAAATTCTATTTCACGGTATGACTAATTTTATTTCACGGTAACGATATATTTCACGATATAGTTATTTATATATGTAGTTATTCTCGAAAAATCGACAAAAAGGGCTTTGTATAATAAATAAACCCAAATACTTTAGAAATGAAAAGTACTTCACATTGTTTTCTGTTTCTCTTATTTGGTCAATTATTTCTTTGGTAAACTATTTAGATAGCTAAATATAAACAAAACACACTCATCAACTTTTAGATGAACTGCCCCCAACTGATTGATATTAAATACAACTCATAGGTGCAATTAAACTTTAAATAAAGTGTTTCTGAATAATTTTTCAATCTCATGTTATGCTTTACTTCATCAATCCGTTTATAATATCTGAATATTTTATATTGAACTATTCTATTCATGATAAATTAGTTATTTCCTTTTAATTTTGTAGGATAGTAATACTAGTTATGTTTCAATGTGTTCCCCGGTACATTTGTGCCATGTCTGCTTAGGCTACACTGCGTTTTTAAGGGGCTTATTTTGCTCTTTTTGTGATATCTGGCAACCCGTCACCCTGCGCTTTAATCAATATAAGTTCAGAAGTGACTAGAAGGAGAGCAGCAGTTTGAAAACCGAACAGCAGCTACTGTTAGTGTTGACTAAGTAGCCTAGTTTAAATTATACACACCTTGTAACTGTGTCATTATTTGACCATAGCCCGGTGAACACCGCGCTCCCTCAGTGCGTGTGCACGCGCGCGTCTTCTGCATCAGTAAAATGCGATCGGTTAATTTGAGTGTCAAGTTGTAATCACGTATCGAATCAAAGGAAGATTTTATCAGCTGGTTCGGTGGCCAATTGTTTGGAGTTAGAAATATAGCTATAACTCGCGATGCATATTTAGTCATTTTGCCTCAGATAGGCTACAGGATTATACATTCCCTTTAACAAGCCGGTTCATTACCACGGGCAGCAAACTGTTTGCGTGTTTAAAAACTAAGAGAGGGAAATATGCAGATAACTATACATTATTTAAGGTTATTTCTATTCGTTACGATATTGATATATGAACTGTTGTTGTCCAGCTTTCCCCGTTGCGAGCGTGCACTAATCTGTAGCCTGGGTGCTGCACTGCTCTAGTTAACTGCTGCGCCTTTCCCCCCGAAAATATTACGTTAACAACAACCCTTTAGAAAATGTAATTCCTTTGTGGATCCTCTTGATCGGCTTTCTCCGTGTTTCTTTTTACAATTCGCTGTTTCTCAGTCTCACGCACGTTGCACGCGAGTTAACCACGCCCACTTATTTGCATTTCGCGGTATACACGGAATAAAAAAATCTGTTACGGTTGACATTTTCTACCGCGGTAACGATATATACCGTCATACCGCCCAGCCCTAGCGCAATTTGAAGGGTAATGGAAACGCGGCTAGTGTTTCAAACACACGCAAACTTCTCAAAACATCCATTGTTTTCTCTGTACTCCTCCACCACCCCTTTAACTGCTGATCATTTAGCTAGTTTCTTCACTAACAAAACTACTACAGCAATCAGTTCTCAGCTCCAGACACACAGACACACTGACCAAGCCGGCAACGGTAACTAAACAACACCCATACATCCTTCTCTTTTATTTGTTTACACATTATTCTGGTTATCTTTTAGCATTTCATGATTAAACGTTTGTTGCAGTACAT